GTAGTTGAAGAAGACACATAAGAATGGAAAGATATTCCATGTTCATGGATTGAAATATATAATATTGTTAAAATGTTGCTGAGTGCAGTGACTCACACCTGTAATCCCAGCCCTTTGGGAGGCCAAGGCGGGTGGATCATTTGCAGTCAAGAGTTCAAGACCAGCCTGGCCTACATAATGAAACACTGTCTCTACTAAAAATATAAAAATTAGCCAGGTGTGGTGGTGGGCACCTGTAATACCAGTTACTCAGGAGGCTTTAACCTGGGAGGTGGAGGTTGCGGTGAGCTGAGATTGGGCCACTGCATTCCAGCATGGGTGGCAGAGTGGGACTTCATCTCAAAAAAAAAAAAGAAAAGAAAAAAAAAAGAAAAATTCTGCACTACCCAAAGCAATCTACAGATTCAATGCAATCTTTATCATAATACCAATGACCTTCACAGAAATATAGAAAAGAATCCTAAAGTTTATATAGAACCACAAAATACCCAGGTAGCCAAAATTATCCTGAGCAAAAGAACAAAACTAGAGAAGTCACATTATCTGACTTCCGGTTATATTACAGAGCTACAGTAACCAAAAGAGTATGGCACTGGCAAAAAAAAAAAATAGATACACAGACCAGTAGGAACAGAATAGAGAACCCAGAAACAAATCCATACATCTACAGTGAACTCATTTTCGAAAAAGGTGCCAAGATCATGCAATGGGGAAAGAACCGTCTGTTCAATAAGTGGTACTGGGAAACCTGAATATCCTTATGCAGAAGAATGAAACTAGACCCCTATTTCATATCATATACAAAAATCAAATAAAAAATTGATTAAAGCCTGGAGAGGAGCAGGAAAGGTAACTATAAGGTACTGAGCTTAATGTACAGAACCTGTACAACAACCAATTAAACTGTTATCTTTAATTATCTGACAGAAATAGTCTGTACGATAAACATTTACAGCATGAGTTTACCTATGTAAAGAACCTTCACATGTACCCCCCAACCAAAAATAAAAGTTGTAAAGAAAAGGCTTACATCTAAGATCTCAAACTATGAAACAACTAAAAGAAAACATTGGATGAACTCTTCAGAACCTTGGAGTGGGCAAAGATTTCTTGAGGAATACCCCACGAGCACAGGCAACCAAAGCAACAGTGGACAAATGGGATCACATTAAGTTAAAGAGAAACAGTGAAGTGAAGGGACAACCCACAGATGGGAGAACTTAGTTGCAAACTATCCATCTGACAAGGGAATAATCACCGGAATATATAAGAGCTGGGGAGGGATAGCCTGGGGAGAAATGCCAAATGTGGGTGAAGGGGAGGAAGGCAGCAAAACACACTGCCGTGTGTGTACCTATGCAACTGTCTTGCATGTGCTGCACATGTACCCCTAAACCTAAAATGCAATAAAAAAATTAAAATAAAAATAAATAAATAATTAACTAAAAAAATAGTTTGCATGTTAAAAAAAAAAAAAGAAGCTCAACCAACTCTATAAGAAAAAATCATATAACCTGTTTAAAACATGGGCAAAAGATCTGAATAGACGTTACTCAAAAGAAGACATGCAAATGGCAAACAGGTAGATGAAAAGGTGCTCAACATCACTGATCATCAGAAATGTAAGTCAAAACTACAATGAGATGTTGGCTGGGTGCGGTGGCTCACACCTGAAATCCTGGCACTTCGGGAGGCTGAGGCGGGCGGATTACTTGAAGCCAGGGATTGGAGACCAGCCTGGCCAACATGGCGAAACCCCATCTCTACTAAAAATACGAAAAAAATTAGCCTGGCATGGTGTTGCATGCCTGTAAGCCCAGCTACTTCCGAGGCTGAGGCACGAGAATCGCTTGAACCCAGGAGGTGGAGGTTGCAGTGAGTCGATATGATGCCACTCATGCCACTACACTACAGCCCAGGTGACAGTGAGATTCAGTCTCAAAAAACAAACAAATAAAACTATGTGATATTTGTTTCACATGAGATATCATCTCACCTCAGTTAAAATAGCTTTTGTCCAAAAGACAGGCAATATCAAATGCTGACAAGGATTTAGAGAAAACGGAACACTCTTACAGTGTTAAGGGGCGTGTAAAGTAGTACAACGATTGTGGAGAACAGTTTAGAGGTATCTCGAAAACTAAAAATAGAGCTGCCGTGCGATCCAGCAATCGCGCTTCTCGGTATATACCCAAAGGAAAGGAAATCAGTATGTGGAAGAGAGAGCTGCACTCCGTTTATTGCAGCACTGTCCACAGTAGCCAAGATCTGAGGCAACCCAAGTGTCCATCAGCAGGCACGTGGATAAAGACGTGTGCTACATACCCAGAGGAGTGTCTTAAGCCATAAGAGAGAATGAGGTTCTGTCATTTGCAACAACAGGGATGGAACCAGAGGTCATTATGTTAAGTAAAATGAAATAAGCCAAGCACAGAAAGATAAACTTCGCATGTTCTCACTCATTTGTGGGAGCTAAACATGAACACAATTGAACTCATGGAGATAGAGGGTGGAATGATGGTTATCAGAGGCTGAGAAGGACAGTGGGGGGTGGTATGGAAATGTGAATGGTTAATGGGTATTAAAAATTAGTTAGCATTAGTAAGATGTAGTATTTGATATTATTGATTATATAATCAATAATAATTTAATTGTACATATAAAAATAACTGAAAAGAGTAGAATTGGGTTGTTTGTAATAGAAATGATAAATACTTGAGGTGGTGGATACGTCATTCACCCTGATGTCATTATTACATATTGTATGTCTGTATTGTATGTAGCCCATGGCCGGGCATGGTGGCTCATGTCTGTAATCTCAGCACTTTGGGAGGCTGAGGCAGGCAGATCACCTGAGGTCAGGAGTTCAAGACCAGCCTGGCCAACATGAAAAAACCCCATCTCAACTAAAAAATACAAAGATCAGCTGGATGTGATAGCAGGCCCCTGTAATCCCAGCTACTTGGGAGGCTGAGGCAGGGAGAATTGCTTGAACCTGGGTGGTGGAGGTTGCAGTGAGCTGAGATCTCACCACTGCACTCCAGCCTTGGTGACAGAGTGAGTCTCCATTTAAAAAACAAATTCCATATACCCCATAAATATATATATATCTACCATGTACCCACAAAAATTAAAAATTAAAGTAAAGTCAGTAGGTTAAGAGGCAATCAGTTGCCCCCAAGACAAAATAGAAGAAATCCCTGAGACCTTACAACCAAAGGCAAAGAGAGAGGAACCACAAGGGAAAAGCCAAATGCCTTGCAGACAGATCCAGGATGCCCAGCACGTCCATAATAGGAGTTCCAGAGGAGAAAAAGAAACAGACGCAGAAGAAATACTGGTTACACAGGAGAAGAAATTTTACGTGAGTTGAAATGTTTTTGTAGAGACATAGTCTTGCTTTATTACTTAGGTTGGACTTGAACTTCTGGCCTCAAGTGATCCTTTCCCCTCAGCCTCCCAAGGTGCTAGGATTACAGGCATGAGCCACTGTGCCAGAAATATGTATTGATTGATTGATTCAGTTTTATTTTTGGGGGATTTTTTTGCCCAGGCTGGAGTGCAATAGCACGATCTCGGCTCACCACAACCCCCACCTCCTGGGTTCAAACGGTTCTCCTGCCTCAGCCTCCCAAGTAGCTGGGATTACAGGCATGCACCATCACGCCTGGCTAATGTTTTGTATTTTTAGTAGAGATGGGGTTTTTCCATGTTGGTCAGGCTGGTCCCAAACTCCCGACCTCAGATGATCCACCCACCTCAAGCCTCACAAGGTGCTGGGATTACAGGTATGAGCCACTGTGCCGGGCAGGAATATTTTTTTTTAAATCACAAGTCAATACAATTAGAAATAAATAATACAAATAATCAACAAAAGCCTTAACTGCTTGAAAATGAAAAAACACACTTCTAAGTAATCCTTAGATACCTAAGATATCCTTAGATCAAAGAGAAATTCTAAACTGCAATTAGAATATTGAAAAAATAAAACACTCCATATTCAATCTGTGGAACCAGCAAATACTGTATTATGAAGACAATGGCAGCCGGTGCTGTGGCTCACGCCTGTAACCCAGCACTTTGGGAGGCCGAGGCAGGTGGGTAGCCTGAAGTCAGGAGTTCAAGAACAGCTTGGCCAACATGGTGAAACCTCATCTGTACTAAAAATACAAAACTTAGCCAGGTATGGTGGCACATGCCTGTAATCAGGCTACGTGGGAAGCTGAGACAGGAGAATTGCTTGAACCTGGGAGGCAGAAGTTGCACTGAGCTAAGATCGCGCCACTGCACTCTAGCCTGGGCAACAGAGAGAGAGTCCATCTCAACAACAGCAACAAAAAAAAAAAAAAAAAGAAAAGAAAAGAAAGAGAATGAGGCCGGGCATCGTGGCTCAAGCCTGTAATCCTAGCAGTTTGGGAGGCCGAGGCGGGTGGATCACCTGAGGTCAGGAGTTCAAGACCAGCCCGGCCAACATGGTGAAACCCCGTCTCTACTAAAAATACAAAAAATTAGCTGGTCATGGTGGCGCGTGCCTGTAATCCCAGCTACTTGAGAGGCTGAGGCAGGAGAATCACTTGAACCTGGGAGTTGGAGGTTGTGGTGAGCCAAGATCGTGCCACTACACTGCAGTCTGAGCAACAGAGTGAGACTCCAAAAAAAGAAAGAGAGAGAGAGAGAGAGAGAAGGAAAGAAAGAAAGAAAATGGCTTCATTACTAAGGAAGAAAGAATAAAGCTGAAGGAACTCAGATTTGATGGTAAATTAAGGAACTTGCTCTGGGAACAGCCTCGAAGGACTCTCTGTTTCTAGGCCTCCTAGTTCTCTGTATGAGTGTGTTCAGGTGACTGTTGAAAAGGAGTCTCAAAAAAAAAAAAAAAAAAAAAAGACAAGGAGTCGCTTATGAAAGACTGAGTTAAACATTCTTATTTTTGCCAAAAGTATGTTTCTGTGGAAGCACGTGAATTCTCAGATGGCTTTTTTAGTGGTTTTTATGTTGCCCAGGTACTCCAGGAGCAGATTCGTGCCCGGGACAATATTAGCTACGGAACTAATTCTGCCTTAAAGACCCTGGAGATGCGCCAGCTCTCCGGTTTGGGAGATCTTCGAGGAAGAGTGGCAAGGTAGGTGTCCAAATGTTGGGGTTTCTGCCCATCAAAAGCCATTTTCTATAAACTCCGTTATAGTGGGGAATATATTAATGGAGCCCCAAAATGATTGCCTGGCATTCCTTTAGTACATTTCCTCCCTGCTTTGGCCATGAAATCCAGTGGTAGGAGTTAAACCTGGTTGGAGGGTGCCTGGGCTTTCTTTTGTTACTGCAATTGATGTCTTCATGGGAAGAAATGATGGGAGAACTCACTCTGCTGACCTTGTGATTTGATAGGTAATACTATGTTTATTGAATCCGATAATATAAAGTTGACATAGTTTGTATGTCATTTCAAAAGTTTAATTTTTCCCATTATTCATTTTTATTTCTTTTCCTGAAGTGTATTGGTCTGGGAAAGATTGGAAATTTAGAAAAAACATCTTTCTCCTCAATCTGAAAAATGCTGTTTTCGGCTGGGTGTGGTGGCTCCCGCCTGTAATCCCAGCACTTTAGGAGGCTGAGGCAGGTGGATCACAAGGTCAGGAGTTCAAGACTAGCCTGACCAATATGGTGAAACCCCGTTTCTAGTAAAAATACAAAAATTAGCCAGGCATGGTGGCATGTGCCTGTAGTCCCAGCTACTCAGGAGGTTGAGGCAGGAGAGTTGCTTGAACCTGGGAGGCCGAGGTTGCAGTGAGCCGAGATCACGCCACTGCACTCCAGCCTGCATGATCGAGCGAGATTCTGTCTCCAAAAAAAACAGTGCTGTTATCTCAAAGTGTGCTGCGGGGACCAGCAGCCTCAACGTCACCTAGGAGCTTGTTAGAAATGTACCATCTCTGACGGGCGTGGTGGCTCAAGCCTGTAATCCCAGCGCTTTGGGAGGCCGAGGCGGGTGGATCACGAGGTCAAGAGATCGAGACCATCCTGGTCAACATGGTGAAACCCCGTCTCTACTAAAAATACAAAAAATTAGCTGGGCACGGTGGTGCGTGCCTGTAATCCCAGCTACTCAGGAGGCTGAGGCAGGAGAATTGCCTGAACCCAGGAGGCGGAGGTTGCGGTGAGCCCAGATCGTGCCATTGCACTCCAGCCTGGGTAACAAGAGCAAAACTCCGTCTCAAAAAAAAAAAAAGAAATGTACCATCTCCATCCCACCCTGCCACTACTGAATTAGAATTTGCATTTTAACAAGATCCCTGAATTCATATGCATGGGAAATTCTGGGCAGCCCTGAGCCAGGTCTGTGTCTAGGGCTATTTTTATCTGGCTGGGACAAATTTGTCCGCAGTATTTATGGGTCTCTTCTGCCCTCTGCTGCTGCTAAGAGCCAAGCACATGAATACGCATCAGCGCTGGAGCCGAGGAGCAAATGGCACTTCCAATCAGCCTGAGGTGGCAATCAGGGTAGTCTGCAAGGGGTCGGGTGGAAGAAAGAACAAGGACCTTCAGCATGCAAGGCCTCTGGAGCAGGGAGGGGAGGTGTTCGGGTGAATTTGTGCAGACAACATGTTGAGGGCCTTGGATGCTGGGCATGTGTGTTTGGGTCTGCTGGGTAAAGCTTGGTCTAAGCAGAAGGCTACGTGGATTGGATGGGGACAGGTTGATCATCCTCCTTCTGGGGTTTTCTGTCCTCATCAGGTTTCCTTAGTGTGGTCCTTGCTGATGACGCCCTGTTGGCTTCCTCTCCTCTCTCTACCCTGGCACTGTACCTTTCAGCGGTGATCAACTCTTTGTTAGTCCCTGAATAAACCAAGCCCTTCTGTCCCTACGCTTTTGTATATGCTGTTCGTGTACCTAGCATGCCTTTCCTCCTCCTTTTATTTTATTTTTATTTTTGAGACAAGTGTCACTCTGTTGTCCAGGCTGGAGTGCGGTGGCACAATGTTGGTTCACTGCCACCTCCGCCTCCTGGGTTCAAGTGATTCTTGTGCTTCAGCCTCCTGAGTAGCTGGGACTACAGGTTCCTGCCACCATGCCCAGCTAATTTTTGTATTTTTAGTAGATATGAGGTTTTACCATGTTGGCCAGGCTGGACTCTAACTCCTGACCTCAGGTGACCCGCCCACCTTGGCCTCCCAGAGTGCTGGGATTACAGGTGTGAGCCGCCGCGCCTGGCCTCCTCCTCCTTTTCTAATTTCTTTTCGGTCTTTAAAGTTCAGTTCAAACGTCACCCACTCTGGAAGTCTTCCCGGGCAGCCCTGCTCCACACAGCTCCCCTAGCATCACCGCTCTATCGCGTCTGTCTGCTGTCCTCCGCACTCTGCTGACTACTGTGTGGGAGGGGGTCCAGATGTTTCACTTCTCTGTAGCTGAGTGCCTGAAACTGTCTCTGGAAAACAGTAGGTACTCAACATTCATCATCCATTTGAACGAAGAGGTGACCTAGACACTCACTGTAATAGGACCGATTATTTGTGGAGTTCGGCTTGACAGAAATCCCCGCTCTGATACCTCTCAGAACAGCAGGGAGTTAGAAAACTTGAGAGCTACGGGTCAGAATAGGGACTTTAGGAGGACGTTGAGAATCTTCACAGCCTCTTGAGTTGTGGATGAAGATCAAGTGAGGGAATACACGTGGGAGGCTTGGTGCCCTGCCTGCGATGGAGTGGGCCTGCCACTAATGGAAGCTTTATCATCTCAGGGGCAAGAGCAGCGACATCGTCCTTAGCGTGCTGCTTCTAATACAACGCAGAAAAATTATTCTAAAATACTCTCGGGAATCTTACATTCTTCAGGTTCCTGTAACTTCTCTCCTTCCCTGTAACAAAAGCTTTCACTGTAAAGGCATCGAGAACCTTTGCTTGTGGCGAGCACCGGACATTTCTGCTTTGTTTTGTGACGATGTTAGTCTTTCTCCTGCAAAGCTGTAAGACTTCATTGTTGAAATGAATTCATGTGAAATAAAAATGCCTTGGAAAAGTTTCTTGGCCTTCTTGCTTTGATTATGTAATTGCATTGAAGGGGTGTGAACTTTTTAAGAGTTATTCTTAAGTTACTAGCCTTCTATATTATGTTATATTTAATTTTTTAGTTTTTGTAGGCCCATTGGTGATGTAATTAGTAGGAAATGGGCCGTGATTTTTTTCCCCCGCTGTAAATGCAGCTCAGAAGGGCACAGGCAAGTTCTCCATGGAGGTGAGAGACACATTCAGCTCACATGGCATAGCACGCTCTGAACAGGACTTGATGAGGCCTGAAGACCCAATAGATGGCCTCCTTCCTCTCTCTCTCCCTGAACAGCATAGTGGTTCAGGGAGAGGTCTAATTCACATACCTTATAAGTCACCTATTTAAAGCACACAATTCAGTGGTTTTTAGTATATTCACAAAGTCATGCAGTCATCACCGCAATCGACTGCAGAACTTATTTATTTTTTTGGAGTCGGAGTCTCGCTCTTGTTACCCAGGCTGGAGTGCAATGGCGCGATCTCGGCTCACCACAACCTCCGCCTCCTGGGTTCAGGCAATTCTCCTGCCTCAGCCTCCCGAGTAGCTGGGACGACAGGCACGCGCCACCACGCCCGGCTAATTTTTTGTATTATTAGTAGAGACGGGGTTTCACCTTGTTGACCAGGATGGTCTTGATCTCTTGACCTCGTGATCCACCCGCCTCGGCCTCCCAAAGTGCTGGGATTGCAGAACATTTTTATCATCCAAAAAGAAACCCCATACCCATTAGCAGCCCCTCCCCATTTGTCCCCAGCCTCCCTGATCCCCCAATCCATGGCAGGCCTACATTGTGTCTCTCATGGGTTTCCCTCTTCTGCGCATCCCAAGTGAATGTGTTCCCTTGAGACTGCCTTCTGACGTTTTTAGGGTTCGTCTTGTTTTAGCATAAATCAGTACTTCTTTCCTTCTATGGCTGCATAGTAAGTACCTCACTGTGTACTGCGTTTTAAAAATCCATCCATTAGTGGGACGTTTGGGTTGTTTCCATTTTTGAGCTGTTTTAAATAATGCGGCTGTGAACATTTGTCTGTTTTTGTGTGCTCGTAGGTTTTCGTTTCTCTTGGATATGTGCCTGGAATGAAAATGCTGAGTAACATGAGAACTCTGTATTTAACTTTAGAGGAACAGTGCAGCCACACTGTTTGCCAGAGTGGCCGCCGCTTTACATTGCCACCAGCAGTGTCTGAGGGTTCCAACGTCTGCGCATCCTCACTGACAGCTGTTTTCTATCTTTTTGATTATAGCCATCCTAGTGGGTTTGAAGAGGATCTCACTGTGGTTTTGATTGGATCCCCCCTGAGGACTAATGTTGTTGAACACCCTTTAATGTGCTTTTTGGTCATTGGCATATCTTTAGAGAAATACTTAGTCAGATCCCTTGCTCATTATTGGGTAACTGTCTTTTTATTATTGCGCTGTAGGAGTTTTGAAATATATATATTCCCTTACCAGATATCCGATTTGAAAACTTATTGTCCCAGTCTAAGGGATGCCTTCTCAGTTTCTCATGTCTTTTGAAACGTAAATGTTTTTAATCTTTGTTGTTTTGAGATGGAGTTTTGCTCTTGTTGCCCAGGCTGCAGCGCAGTGGTGCGATCTCAGCTCACCGCAACCTCGGCCTCCCGGATTCAAGCGATTCTCCTGCCTCAGCCTCCTGAGTAGCTGGGACTACAGGAATGTGCCACTAGGCCCAGCTAATTTTGTATTTTTAGTAGAGACAGGGTTTCTCCATGTTGGTCAGGCTGGTCTCAAATTACGGACCTCAGGTGATCCGCCCACCTTGGCCTCCCAAAGTGCTGGGGTTACGGAGGTGAGCCACCACACCTGGCCCTAAAATTTTTAATCTGGATTGTATCTAACATCTATCTTTTCTTCACTTGCTAGTGTTTGTGGTATCATATTTAAGAAACTGTTGCCTAATGCAGGTCACAAAGATTTATGCCTGTATCTTTTTAAGTTTTATAGTTCCAGCTCTTACATTTAGGCCTTTGATTCCTTTTGAGTTAATTTTTTTGTATGTAGTATAAGGTAAGGTTCCAAATTTATTCATGTCCTTGTAGATGTCTATTTATCCCACCA